CGTTATGTGAATCATTAGAATCGTGTATCGCACCGTTTCCACTCTATAAGATCAAATTCATATATCAAATAGAAGGATTAAGTACGACGTCGCTTGCTCTACCAACGCGCGAAAGAAACGGAGTATCAGAACAAAGTTCCCATTAGACGTTGGTACACAATTAAGAATAATAATTATATAATAACATTTCAATGAACTAAGGCTTACCTGCAACATTTCATCAGCAGGTTTCGTCAGCTGCGTCATTAAGGCTGACCTCCCAATAGAATCTGTAGGGTCTGCATGTGTTTTTTCGTCCGCCACGGGTGTAATTCCAAGCGCAGGAACGCCCATTTGTTGAGGCATGTCGCTTGAATTCGACGCTTCATGATTTTCTACAGAATTGTCATCACCTATACTTTTTCGTCTAAATCTTTTTCTTTTTCTCGAGGTGGGACTTTGAGAACCTTCCCTGTATATAAAAAAAAAAAGAGAAAAAAAATAACGAGAATAATAATTTTGTATTTCCAACAAACGAAAATTTCAAAATTCCAACGTTCTTACCTCGAGGAGAGACCCTTGGGGATTTGGGGACTGGCTGAGTCTTCAGGCAGGTCCCCTACGGAACCTTGTGATATACCCTGCCTAGGAACTTTGTTCTTTTCTATTGTAAGACCGGAAGACGAAATTGGAATGTCAGGCTGTGATGTTGTTTGCGGAACGACTTTTTGTTGCCTAGAGTCCGTCTTACTACTACCACTTGTTTTACTTTCTGATAGACCTTTAATTTGCAGAGATTCAGCAGCTTTAAGTAGCGCTGCCAATTGGTCTTGAGAGATATTTACTTCTCCCCTGTACATATAGTCCATCATTGCTTTCAATTCTTTAAACTTAACATCTTTGAGTATAAAGACAGGATGCTTGTCATAATGTTCACTGAGGAGCCCCTATAACAAACATATTTCTATCAACTTTCTGATTTGCTTTCTCCAATTAATAAATATCGCGATTTAAATAAGTTAATATTAATAAATACTCGTAATGAAATAAGTAAATGTCACATTGGCAAGTTAACATTTAGAATAAATACGAAAAATTCAAATAATATTAATTAATAGAATTCGATTTCTTAATTTCCAATTCAATTTCTTAATTTCCTATTCAAAGATATATTGTTCGCAATATACACCCTCCCTCCCCCTGTATCAGGGCAAAATCCCAGGGCAAGTGCCCTGGAAATCAGCCATCTTGCTTTCTCTGTATTGATTACCAGGAGGAACCAGGAGGGGGTTTGGGCTTTCAATTCCCCTGCCTCTCTGGCTTCTGCCCAGGCAACATTCAACAAGAGCAGCCATTTTGTTTCAATTTGAGGTTCCTCCTTTTTAGTTTGAACTTTAAATTTTTTTCTTACAATTTGATTTTGGTATCCAAAAAAAAAAAAAAAACTTAAATTTCAAATCTAATCTCTTTAATAAAAAAGAAGTTCAAACGTTTGATTTGAACTTCTTTTTTATTTATCAATAAAATATAGTTATATTTTAAACATGAGAATTAACAGGAGTGATATTTTAATCTTCAATGTTGCAGAAATTTAAAAAACCATTGAATAATTTTAAATCGAAATTTAACACGACTCAACCAAGTACAATTGCTGCGTGTAATACGATGTAATAAAGGAAATAGAAACAATAATCAAAACAACAATAATTATGAGTAATTAAAATATTGATAATATTAAATATGTTAGAATGAAAACCATAACGGGATAAGGATAATGAAACATTAAAAAATACACTCACCTCAAAATAAGGACTGCACGCAGATAGAACTACCTTATGGGCTTTCAAATATTTCCCCTCTGCCGCGAGCGTGCAGTCAACAAGCGTCCCGCTTTCAAGAAGCGTGTCGAAGTTCTGGATTAATGTACTCTGATGATTATTCCACCTAAGGCAGAACTGCTGGTCGTCTTCCATTTTTTCTGGCTTCGTTCCCTCGTTACTGAACAAGCAAAAAAATATTCCGGAAAATGATAATCCGTTTAACGTTGAAGACAATCGACCGTGCTTAAATGCTATCTATTTATATTATGTCCAATTAACACGAACATTGAGGCCAATGATTTAGAAATAAAAGGCAAGATCAATAATAACGTCTATTATTCCGACTGATATGTGTAATCGCGATGAAAGCTCCGCAAGGAAGCAGCAGAGCTTCCAAAATGGCCGTACGTTGCAAGCGCGTCGGTCGAATTGGTGTTCTGGCCTTTTCCTTTGTGCGTGTCCTCATAACGGTAATGGACGATTTGGTGGGGATGATGCAGGAGGACGCGCAAGCACTACGCATGCGCAGCTGCGCCCGACCTGCGCATTTAACTTGCGCACTAGTTCGAGGCCCCTGGAATTCAGGGACGTCTGCTGGATATCCAGTACCCTAACGATATCAAATTTCAAACCAGTTACATTGAAAATAACTGGTGATAAAACATTTTGATATAAGGAACTGTATATACAGAGATACTATCTATGTTAGAATGACTTGAAAAAATTGAAATGTGTATATTATTCCCAATATAAAATGCATTAATACCGGTACTAAAATTTTTCAAGAAATGCAGGTTTGTAATTTTTTGTCTTCAAATATCATACAACTTGTACAACAAAATTGCATACCATATCAATATGTAAACATACTTAAAGCAAGATTTGATACGGTTACTGAGGTATCATATTGAAGTTTATATCTCAAAGAGACTAACACAATTTACATCACGGACATTTACATCACTGACGCGCAATAAAATGGAAAATCGATTACTCTCTCCACATGCGCAACGCGTAAGTCTCTTAATGGAGGGGGTAACATAATGCGAGTATATATTTGTGTACCAAGATTAATACGAAATAAAGCGAAGTGCATTCACCACGGCTTACAACTGATTGCATAATCTATTTATATTGTTATCTCGCATTGAACATTACGTCAGATGGCGCCGAGCAACGTGTGCGAAGCAAAAACAAGTTAGCGACAGATAATTTTTTCAATCGTCAGTCTTTCAATTAGAAAAAAAAAAAAAAAAAAAAAA